GTGATGGTTGTTCACACGCAGCGATATCCAGTGGGGAAGGCTCGGGACTTACTCGTTGGAGTCTTTTCCTCACTGTTCTTGATTGGCCAGCACAACTCAGTGCGGACACTGATGGGTTCCAGGATGTCCCGAAGCTTAATGATCCTGAAGGTGGTCTCCACGAAGGGCAGAGCCACGCTCCGTTTTGTTCTGGGGCAACCGGTCCTGATTATATGGTCTTTCCTCACTGGCTACTTCTCGACTCAATCTAGGAAGAAGACACGGATTAGTGCTCTCCAAGAGATCAGCAAAAGCAAAAGCAAAAGAATTCGAGCAAAGAAAAAGAAAGATCCCACTACCTTGGGAAAAGGTGGAGAAGGATTTGCCAAGCAGGAGGAAGACTCCCCAGTCATCAACAGACCTTCTGATCAGGGAAAGGACTCTGATGGCAGTGTGAGTGCCCCATTTTCATTTAGACATCTTTTTGTCAACGGTGTACTCTCTTCTTTTGTACCCAGGCCGGGCCCTTTGGGTAGGGATATCTGTTCCAAGAACTCAGCAAAGAGCTGTATTAAAGAATCCCAGATCGCCTTCAAGAGTTCATACAAACGAAATGCCATTGCCAGCTCCTACAGTTCCTCTCTAGCACAGTGGCCACCAGAGAGGATTCATGTACTAGCTACCCGAGGTGCTGCCCCTATTGCCATTTCAAGGGCTGCTGCCAAAGGCGCTGCTGCAGGCTCTACCCGAGGGGTTGCCCCTTGTGCTGTTCCAGAGGCTGCCACAGGCGCTGCTGCAGGCGATACCCGGGGTGCTACCCCAGATGATGCTGCAGGCGCTGTCCGAAGGGTTGCCCCTGGTGCTGTTTCAGGGGCTGCCACAGGCGCTGCTGCAGGCGATACCCGGGGTGCTACCCCAGATGATGCTGCAGGCGCTGTCCGAAGGGTTGCCCCTGGTGCTGTTTCAGGGGCTGCCACAGGCGCTGCTGCACGTGTATGTGCTACAAGTTCTGTCCCAAGTGCTGCCGTAGGTGCTGCTGCACAAGCTACCCGAGGTGCTGACCCAGATGATGCTGCGGATGCTTCCCGAGCTGCTGCTGCACGTGCTACCCCAGGCGCTGCTCCTGGTGCTGCTGCAGATGCTGCCCTAAGTGCTACCCCAGGCACTGCTTCAGGGGCTGCAGCAGATGCTGCTTCAAGTGACGCACCATGCACTCTGCCACTCGCCAGCCCAGACTCATCCCACTTGAAGGAGGCTACAGATAAAGGCGATGAGAAAGACAGTGCATCTCCATGTAATTTGAAGAAAAAGGAAAAGAAAACTAAGAAGGAAAAAAAGAAAGAAAGGAAAGAGAAGAAGGAAAAAATCAAGAAAGCCAAGCAAGCAGCTGTCACAGATGCTCCTCAAGTCAAGCAAGGCAACCCAAGGAAGGGCCTCCCCACATCTGCTATTCCAAAGCCTGTGAGACGCAAGGTCTCTCTGTTGCTGCCCCATAGAAGAGACGTCCCACTGATTCCGCCACAGCCCCCAGGACTATATTTCCGAATCACTACAGAAGATTTTGACTTAGAAAAGAAAACTGCCATGCAGTGGATCAACAAGGTCTTGAAGGGTAAGTGAAGGCTGCATAGTCAGCAATGCACACAGCGTTCCTGTCTTACGCTGTGTCTCCAGCACTTTTCTCTCCACTTCCATCACTCATTCCGAGCAGAGAGAGAGAGAGAGAGAGAGAGAGAGAGAGAGCACTAGGAAGATGCAGAGTCTTATGCTTGGTGTCCCCATAATGTAAGGACTGCCTCTGTGGGTCATTTTTCATGGTTCTTTCTAAACTCCGCTTTGCTTTGTCTGATGATAAAGAAACACATAGATTTCCTGGCCCATAGAGGGTCTGTCTCCCAAGTTACCTGGCTGCTTGGCCTTTGCTAGTGGTTTAGTCTAGCTTTGTTCTCCAGGCAGCCCAGGAAACTCACCTGTGGAACTGTGGTGGACCCACTTAGATTGCTGACTCTACCCAGAGACACAGTGCTATAGTCTCACCCACTTTGCGCTAGAAGTCAAAGTTGGATGATGACTGGAGGATGTTGGTCTAACCCAGTGGATACTGGGACATGAAAGGGGCACTTTGGGTTGGTTTTCCTCTGATGAGAACAATCAGGTGACTACTGCTGATGGAATTGCCTGTTTCTCCCTTGCTTATTTGGGCAAAATAAACACACACACACACACACACACACACACACACACACACACACACACACTGCTTGATGAGAAGAATGAGTTCTTTCCCCACAAAGCCAAGATACAAAAACCAAGATGGTATAGAGCAGTGGTTCTCTACCTTCTGAATGATGCAACCCTTAATAGAGCTCCTCATGTTGTGGTGACCCCCAACCATAAAATTATTTTCATTGCTACTTAATACTGTAATTTTGCTACTGTTATGAATTGTAATGTAAACATCTGGTGTTTCCAATGGTCTTAGGCCACACCTGTGAAAGGTGGTTTGACCCCGAAAGGGGTCATGATCCACAGGTTGAGAACCGATGGTCTAGATTAATCACTTCGTATGGACTCTACGGTGTCAAACACTTTGTAGTTATAACCCCTCTTCATTTCTCTTCACATACCTACTCTTATTTGTGTCTTTTACAGATGATGGAGCTAAGGCCCGGCGTAATTAAGTGATCCAAGGATGGCCCACATGTCACTGGATGCATAATACTGCTCTTTAAGCCTGAGCAACCAGTTTCTGTACTCTGTTCATGTAGTATAATGTCACATTCTATTTAGAGCCATTTTGATACTTAAATAAGATTGTTACCCAGAATGCTTGTTATATCATCTGATTTATACTCGAGTGTGATACATTCTCTCTCTCTCTTGGTTTTTCGAGACAGGGTTTCTCTGTATTGCTTTGGAGGTTGTCCTGGAACTTGCACTGTAGACGAGGCTGGCCTCAAACTCAGAGAGATCCACCTGCCTCTGCCTCCCAAGGGCTGGGATTAAAGACGTGCGACACCAACGCCCAGTGATACATTATCTCTTAATATGATTATGTGCCCCCCCCGTTGGTCACAGCTATGACCCACACAACCCCTTGGAAGCAAGTCTTCCCAATTTCCCTTGCTCATCCTGAGGATGGTCATTTGTTGCTGAGGGTTCTGACTCAGAATGTTCTTTGACCCTTCATGCCTCAGGACACTGCAGTGGTACCAATCAGAGTGTTGGGGAAGGATACTTTCCTTGGAACCACCCTGTCCTATTTAGTTTTTACTTTTGTTGCTGTGATAAAACACTCTGACAAAAGAAGCTACATAAGGGAGAAAGGGTTTATTTGGCATACAGATCCAAGCTATGGTCCAACATTTAAGGAAAGTCAAGGCAGGAACTTGAAGCAGCTGGTCACTTTCCCAGTCAAGGGCAGGGAGAATAAATGCATGGCATGCTTGCTGTGTTCAGTTCCATCCTTACACTTAAACAGTTCAAGACCCTAACTCAGGGAGTGATACCACCAGTAACGGATGGGTTCTCCCGTCTTCATCAAGCCAGTCAAGACAGTTCCCCATAGTCATGCCTCCAGACCACCCAGGTCTAGACAGATTGAGATGATTCTAGGTTGTGTCAAGTTGACAATTAAGACTAAACATTATATACTCTGTCTCTAACCCCAAAAGCAACTATATATGGGTTCAGAACAGCAAACTGAACCTCCTTTGAGTGGCACCATGAACTCTTGTCTCTGATTCCTGGGTATTCAGGTCAGCAATGTGAGATAAATACACAAATCCATTGTTTCCCATTGTATTTTGTTTTGGGTATTGCTTTCACATTTTTTTGCCTTTTATATTTGTATAATTTTAAATGTGAAATGTTTATATGGTTAACAAGTAGATTCTTGATTTTATATCTTGGTTTAGAATTTCCTCTCGGTCCCCAGGTGTCAACATAAATAACAAAGAGACTTTCCAAAGATTAGAAAGTTTATCCAGGACTACACATTACAGTAGCACTGTGTGTACCTTGGCAAGCTATGCATATATTCAAGGAGGTGGAGACAAAGGGGAGGCAAGAGGATTGTGCAATTGACTTTGAAACAATAAGTTGTGGCTGGAAGTATCAATAACAAGTGATATTAGCCCAAGGTTCAGTGTGGACTATATATTCTTTCAGAATTATTTTCTGTGTAAGGTTACTTGCTCCCACACAACAAGGTTATGGTCTGGCAGGCCTTTAAATTGGCAATTTTTATTAGGCACATGTACATGAGATCCCTTCTTTCATAACTGAAATTTATTTCTTTGAGTATAACACAAATAACTCCATTTTGATCCAGAGAACTTTCACATAGTCTACCCACATAACAAAATCATGGCTATTACTGATAATACATTACAATACGGGGGGGTGAGGGAGATGAAGGATAACTAAGACTCTTAATAATCTGACCTTGAGGTGATACATAGCTCTAGATTGTTTAGATGGGCTCAATGAAATGAGAAGCATCCTACTTAATGCAAGAGGGAATGAGCAATGTTAATGACAGAGTTAGAGACTTGCAATGATGGAAGCAATACCTGGTTGGCTGTGAAGATGCAATGGCCAGGAGCCAACTACCAGAGTCTCCAGCAGCTGCAGAAAACATCCCCAGTAGAAGCACAGCCCTTCTGACTCTTGGTTTTTAGATGGTCAGGCAATGAAGCTCCATTTGTCAGGTAACCTCGCCTTCGCTTACTGAAATAAACAGTATGTGCTGGCCAGTTGTGTGTCAACTTGACACAAACTAGAGTCATCTGAAAGGAGAGAACCTCAATTGAGAAAAATGCCTCTATAAGAGGCATTAAGACATTTTCTTAATTAGTGATTGATGGGGGAGGGCCCAGCCATTGTGGGTGATGCCATCCCTGGGCTGGTGGTCCTGGGTTCTATAAGAAAGCAGGTTGAGCAACCATGGGGAGCAAGCCCACAAGCAGCCCCCTCCATGACCTCTGCATCACCTCCTGCCTCTGGGTTCTTGCCGTCTTTGAGTTTCTATCCTGGCTTCCTTCAGTGATGGAAGGAAGTGTAAGCCTACAATATGGAAGTGTAAGCCAAATAAACCCTTTGCTCCCCAACTTTTTGACCATGGTGTTTCATCACAGCAATAGAGACCCTGACTAGGACACAGCATATACTTGAATCTTACCCCTGGCTCTATGTTGTGTTACTTCCAATGTGTGTCTTTTCCATGACTAGTGACATTTGTTGTAGTGGCTTTTTAGTACTCTTCTAATAGCCAGTAACTAAAGTTATTGGCTTTCTTTAAAAAAATGTATCCTCAAATGCCTGTCACATGGCTTCACACATAAATGCGAAGGTGGTTTTATTCCATCGTCAAAAAAGCTCTAGTGGGGTTTAACTGGGGTTTTGTTGTGTTTGGGAAAGAAGTCGGATGTGTGCTGGACCAAGATGCAAGGCAGCCACAAGGAAACCAGAGGTAACACTCTTGTGTTGGGTCAAAGATGGTGGGCTATTAAGTAGACTTGGGGGGATTTTCATCTTTTGCCTACTCTCCTGAAGTCTTTGTTTCCTGTTTCTTATTTCCCCACAGGCATAGGAAGGTATAATTTACTTTCAGAAAATGTATAGCAGGCTGGGTTTTGTGGGTGCAATCCTACAATCCCAGCACCCAGGGGTTTCAAGCAAAGAGTACCAGGAGTTCAAAGTCATTTTCTCCTGCATAGAGAGTTCACAGCCAGCCTGGGCTACATGAGACTCTCCACTGGCCCCTCCCTCAAGCCCCAAGAACCAACTAAACAAACCAAAACAAAGCCCAAACCATATCAGAATGTAGTTACATTAACCCATTTCCTGCTTTTACTAAAAAATAACCCAGGCTGGGTAATTGGCAGGGAAAATCGGTTATTAACTCAGTTTAGCATCTGAACAGCATGACACCAGCTCTCTGAGGGCTTACTGGCTCTGTCACATCATCACGGATGGTGACGTGATGGATGGTGGCATGGAAAGAACGAGAGTAAAAAGAGTTCATTATGTTGACAGGAAACCAGAGGGAGAGGAGGGAGTCCACTCTTGCTCTTTTATAACCACTGTGGAGAGAAACAACCCCGTTCATTCAAAGGGCACCTCCCTGTGATTGTACAGCCACCCACTACATGCTGCCTCCAAAAGGCCTCGGCACTGCAGTGTTATCACACTGTGCACCAAAGGTATACTGGGGGACACAAATCAACCAAACCATAGTAATGGGGAACACAGATGGATGAGCTTTCCATACAACTGTAGGGAGTCTTACTGTGTAGACCTGGCTGCCACTGCGGAACTTGTTATGTAGACCAAGCAGGTCTTTTGTTAATTTATTACTTAAACAATTTTTAAGTTTAAACATATTTTTATCATATTTTCCCCTTCTCCAAGTCCTTCATGAGGCTTTCCCCCTCCCAATCCATCCAACTTGTTCTTTTGAAAAAACAAAAACAATACAAGGAACCCCCTCAACCAAGAAAACAAAATAAAACTACTCCGAAAGAAAACAAACAAATCCTCCCCCAAACACCAAACTAACCGAAAATAAGCACACACGCAAAACTGTGGAGTCCATTATATGTTAGTCAGCTACTCCTGAACACGAGGTCTGTCCTGGATTGGGTGCTATACCCAGGTGCAGGGATCAAAGGCATGCCCCACCATGCCAGACAAGGCTGGTCTTGAACTCACAGACTTTTGCCAGTCCCAGCACTCAGAAGGCAGAGGCAGGCATATCCCTGAGTTCAAGGACAGTCTAGTCTACAGAGCAAGTTCCAGGATATTTAGAGCTACAAAGAGAAACTCTGTCTCATAAACAAACAAAACAAAATAACACCAATTACCCACCAAGCTTTGATCTACTGTCACTGGATTTTAAAGTTTCCTACCATTGTCAAAGCCGCTGCGCTCTGATGACCACAGAGAAACAGGTACACAGTCAATGTACTATGTTGCACCTGTCTAGGCTGCTGATCTTATTTTCTGAGTCAGACTGCAGAGTTCCTCATAGGTTTTGACAAAGATTTACTAAATCATATTCCAGAGACAGGAATTCAGGGTTAGCAGTCACTTTGCTTGTGTGCAGCTTGCAGCTTTCAATTCTGGGCAGAGTCCAGGCAGCCATACTTGGCCTGCAGAGGGGATTGTTCAATGCCTTCCTTCCAGATAAGGTGGGGTCAGCATTCCTAGGTATTTTAGGTGATCCTCTGGGCAGGACCCTCTGCCTCACCTGTCAGGTGTAAAGGAGCCCCTGGAGATGCAGCCAAGTACCTTTAGTACCTTTAGTGGCTATGGTCCATGCCTGCGAGGGTCACGAGGGCAGAGGCCAAGTGTGGCAGCATCTGATCTGGGAGTGAAGCTTCTAGAGGTCCTGTGGGTGCCAACATATATGGGTCTCTGTTGGCGTGCCCCCTGCACCTTTACTCCGAGGCTGACCAAGCTCTTGATTTGTGTGGAGCCTGAAGCATCCAGCTTGGTGTGTCTCCTGGTCTGCCTGCATTTCCTTCTGTCTCGGTCTTGATCTTTCCACTGTCCCCAGGTCCCTTCCACCTCTGCTTTCTCACCTGGCCTCAGTCTTCTCCATGGGACAGATGGCTAAGCCTGTTAGGACCCCATCCCAGGGATCCCCTGAGCAGGGAAGCTGACAAAGTTAAGAAGA